AAAAAAACTAGTATTCAAGAAAATCCCATAAATTCAAAAAAACCTTTGTATCATACTCCTGCTCCTGGATGTGTGTAAATTTATGCAAAAGAAGACTAACTATTGTCAACCTCAACTGACTGAGTTTGAATATTGCAATTTGCGAAGAGTTTCTGCATTTTTATATATGGATTATGCTGTCAAGTTCAAATTGCTTATTTCAAATACACATACAAATTTTATATTTTAAAACCCACTGTTTTATGCATTGAGGAAATATTAAATATTACACACACACAGTATGTGTGTGTGTATATATATATATATATATATATATATATATATATATATATATATATATATATATATATATATATATATGACTGTTGTGTGTGAAAATCCCAGGACATCAGCAGTTTCTGAAATACTCAATACCAGCCCATCTGGTACCAACAACCATGCCACGATTAAAGTCACAGAGATCACATTTTTTCCCAATTCTGATGTTTGATGTGAACCTTAATTGAAGATCTTGACCTGTATCTGCATGAACGTATGTGCTGTGCTGCTGCAACATGCATGATTGGCTTACGCAAACATTTACACAACTTTGCTCAAAGATTGATGCATGATACCATAATGTTTAAAATAATAATAATAATAAAACTGAGGAGCACTGGCTATACGACACAGACTGCACCATGGAAAGCATTATACTGCGCAATATTCTACCATACTATAAAAAGCTTATTCTTGTGTAATTCGCTTCATATTAGCTTAAATGCCACTTCAAATGACAATATGAATCTGCATTAACCTGTTATTTAAGTATATATGAGCTTCCTCTAGAGTATTAAGAACAAACAGGAAGAATCATACTGTTAAATCATCATTTCTCACCACTTCATCTTCTGACCAGCATTTCTCTATGAGTTTAGGGACAGGTTTCTTCACCAGGCACTGAAGAGCTTTGGCTGCATCATACTGGCTTTCATGGAGCTGAAGGAGGTGAAGAAGACAAACACCTTTTCATACAACCATTCATTCCCAAACAGAAAAACACTTTAGAAATGTTGGTAAAATGTTGTATAGTTGTATCCACTGCATAAACATTATTTTACTTGCTTGTTTAAACATCAGTGTAATGTAATGCAACCAGAAACAGGTTAACATAATTAATGTTAATAATTAATTTGTTACTGCATGAACGAAATGCTTTCATTACGCAATAAATGCTATGATTAAAATGTTTATTACTTTTCTTTTTTTCTCATGAAAATCTACATAGTAACCAATATCTGTTGTATAATAAACACACATATGTAACTGGTGTAATTTAGTTCATTTTGTTCTGACTGATTTTTTTTGTTTCTGAGAAAGACATGGTGAAAGTCAGCCACTTAAATTCCCAACTTATTGCTCATATTATTCAGTAGCTACAATAATATGGGCAAAAAGTATGCAGTTATGAGAGTAAGTAATGCATGTCTGGATCCACAGATGGGTCCTAGAAGTCTGAAGGGTTAATTAAAATCAATGACCTAATACATGAAAAGACATACTGACAGCCAACAAAAAAAATTTCAATACACCTGAATGTTAATAGAGATATATGTTTTTCAGCAGTGGGGGTGAACATATTATACTTCACCAGGACAAAGTCTCTGACATCTCAGTAGTGGATCTATTTTCCTGATTTGCAGTACAGCATTACTTAAAAAATTCACCAGGTGACTCTCACTGTACATTTAAAACTGAAATGGGCTGGATTCTGTTTCAGTGCTAGAACACATACATAGTACAGCAATACAAACCAAATGTGCATTTCAAGTCTTGCACTAAATAATGAGTGAAAATTAAAATCCAGTGGTCAGTTTTCAGTCTAGTAGTAGTGATTCCTCCTTTCTCAGAACTGCTAAAACATCTGTGTGAGCTGCTCAGATTATAACACAACAGAGTGCCGTAGGAATGAGCCCTAAAACCCGGAAATTAGTTAGCATTTTATCACTCCCTTTTCCTTCGTCCCGAAGTCAATGGGTTTTTTGAATGGGTTTTTGGTTAAATGCCTGAAATAAGGTCTGTGGTTAACACAGGCTCAAGATATTTTCACATTTTATTCTACATATAATAAATACATAAGCAATACCCCACTCATGATTTTTTTAAGCTTTTACGTGTCTTGAAAAAGGCAGTTGCTAACAAGTGGCTAAACCGGACTACAGAGGTTGTCAGGGACATTAAACGTCATCACGCCAAACAGAAAAACAACTACTACGTGTATAAACAAACAAAAGGGAATTTTCTCCAAAATAATGAAACACAGACACATTGCCAAAAAGGGTGGGGGCAGATTCAGCCAGAAAAAAGAGACCAGTGAATCCTTATCAGGGAACATGTTTTTAAAATAAAGATTGAAAGAGTTATTGGAAGCTTAGTGGTGGTGCCAATGAAGTCATGCGACCGTGGTGTAGTTCGTTTACAGCCTAACTTTAGCTTTTTTCTTCTGGTGATTGTATTTAGGCTTCAAAATTAAATACATTTGTGTTTATTTGTGAAGATTATCACGATGAACAAAACGTGTAAGAATTATACTTTTTTTGTCACAGAGCTTATTTTCTGAAATAATCCAAAAGCCAATGGAAAAATCCTATTGGCTTTTTGTTGAAGGAACCAGGGTGATGCTAACTAAGGTTGGCCTACAAAAATATGTCATCCCTGCGGCACTCTATACTAATTTAAACTACATGAAGAGTAACACTTACACTGTAAGTGTACCTGCATATTTTACATGGTGGCTCTTAATATAATAATAACATGAAAAACTAGATCTCTTGTCATAGACGTGTGAGCACCCCTGGTAAGTTATATTTGCAAAAGTAAAAGAAAAAAAAAATCAAACAACTGACCGTGTTTAATGCGTTCAACGTGGTGTCATCGCGGGAGGCTGCAAGACAGCCATCCTCTGTTGACCCTCCATCACACATCCCTGCAAACGCTGCCATGCTCCTGATTATAAATAAAAAAAATGCCCCAGGATAAGCCTTATACATTACAAACACTAAGTCCAAAAATCAACAACACTCACATCTATAGTCATTTGGATTGAAGTGAGGAGGTATAGCATGGAGCTATCGCCCACTCACCTGGCAGCACGCAAGTACATGAGAAGGTCACAGTCATTGACTCCTGGTGTCCAGACTAGCTCCTCTTTCTCTGTCACTGAGTCTATGCCAGGAGTAGGAAGCGGCTGCAGCTCAGGGAGTTTGGCCTGCACACGTGCAAGCAAGGACAAACATATTTATACACACATACACTCACAGTTCACTTTATTAGGAACAGCTGTACACCTGCACATTCATGCAGTTATCTAATCAGTCCATCATATGGCAGCAGCACAATGCAAAAAAAATATCATGTAGATACAGGTGAAGAGCTCCAGTTAATGTTCACATGAAACATCTGAATGAAGAAAAAGTGTGATCTCTGTGATGATGTTGGTACCTTAAGGGCTGGTTTGAGTATTTTATAAACTGCTGATCTCCTGGGAATTTCACACACTACAGTGTCTAGGGTTTACACAGAATGATGCAAAAAACAAAAAACATTGAGAGAATGACAGTTCTGTGGGTGGAAACATCTTGTTGCTAAGAGAGGTCAGAGGAAAATGGCCAGATTGGTTTGAGTTGCCAGGAAAGATAGTAATACAAATAGTAACTCTTTACAAGCGTGGTGAGCAGAAAAGCATCTCAGCATGCACAAAATATTGAACCTTGAGGTGGATGGGCTATGACAGCAGAAGACCATGTCAGATTACACTCCTTTCAGCCAAGAATAGGAATCCGAGGCTATCAAGGGCACAGGCTGACGAAGCTAGACAGAAAAAAAAAAAATCACCTGGTCTTTTTCCAGTCCTCAACTGTCCAGTTTCGGTGAGTCTGTGCCCATTATGTCCCCAGGTGTGATGTGTGTTCTGAGATGCTTTTCTGCTTATTTGAGTTACTATAGACTTCCTGTCAGCTCAAACCAGTCTGGTTATTCTCCTCTGATCTCTTTCATTAACAAGGTGTTTCAGCCTCAAGACCCTTAACACACAGGATGTTTTTTGTTTTTTGCACATTCTGTGCAAAACCTAGAAACTGGAGTGTGTTAAAATCCCAGGAGATCAGCAGTTTATGAAATACTCAGACCAGCTTTTCTGGTACCAACAACCATGTCACAATAAAAGTCATAGAGAGCGCACATTTTCTTCATTCAGATGTTTGTTGTGAACATTAACTGAAGCTCTTGGCCTGTATCTGCATGATTTTATGCATTGTGCTGCTGCCACCTGATTGGCTGATTGGATAACTGCATAAATAAGCAGGTGTTCAGGTGTTCCTATTAAAGTGGACAGTGAGTGTACATGCACACAAGAAATACGAATGTTACAGATACAAACATACATGTGTATAACATTCATTAAGACAAATGCACAGCTAAAATGATTAAGGCCTAATAATGACTCTTCATGATTTTCAATCACTAATCCAATAAGATATACTGGGTGCAATAATAAGCCTTTTTACACACCTGATGACTTGGACCCACTCTAATCTCCCCTTGCGTGCTGTTCAGCTGCCTAAAATGCAGAAATCCTGTTATTCCTAATGCCATCTAATCCCAATAATTCACTGCCATTTTGAAAGCAATACAAATGACATTGTAATATTGTAACATTTCCATAAAATATGAAAAAGTTCTGAATATAAACATTCACTTTAAAACTCTCTTGAATTTTAAATTATAATCAAAGATTTAAAACATAAGATATTTAGTTTCCAAGGTTGCCAATAAAGTACTGTAAAAAAAATACAATAAACTAAAACTGTAAACATATTTACAGTGTAGAACAGTGTAGAACTGTAATATCTTACCATTAACATTAACACTTAACATTTGCTCATTTGGATGACCAAAACTGATGTGGGATATGACTGAGGTGAGAGTTAACGGTCTTGCTCAAGGACCCAACCACAGCCGTTTGGTGGGGCTAGGACTTGAACCTGGACCTTCTAAGCTATAGCTCAAAGCCTTAACCACTGAGCCACCACAACTAGCTCAGCTAACTTACACTGATTCAGCCACTTCCACCACTCAGTTAACCTGCACTCAGAGACTGCACTGAATCAGTGCAAGCTTGCTGAGCTAGACATCCAAATGAGCAAATGTACTGGATTATGTTATTTTATACTATGTAATATATTACAGTTCTTTACTGCAAATGTGTTTACAGGGTTTTTTTTAAACTGTAAAATTTTATCAGTATTTTATTAGTAACCCTGTTGTCAGTAAATGACTCTAAAATTTACAGTAATTGTTTTACAGTGTACACTAGGATGTAATATCTGCTAAACTTGCAAGATGCAACAACTGTATAAAAATTCAGATTTTTTTTTTTTAATGATACTCGGCGTGAGTTAAAGGACGTTATCTTACAGACACACACGCAACCTTAACTGCTTTTGAACACACTGTAAAAGTTCGAGCTGCGCCATGACGGGCGCTTCCTCAGCGTTCCACCCTTTAAATCAGCTCGTGCTCAGTGTTAATCACAGCGAGTCATTTGCCTATCAGCAGTCTGGACGCTCAGTCCAAGTCCCGCCCATTAATCTGTCGCAGCCAATCAGGGCCCGGCGGCATCGTTCCCTCCAAAGGTTATATAAACAGGGGCTTAAACACGTAGCGTCTCTGCAAATCACTAATTTCGCAGATGGGCGAACAGTTATTATATAAAGCATAGTGTTTACAATTAAAGCCAGACATACCATAAAGCGCGACTGTATGATGCTATTTGATCTGTTTTTACTAACGGCACCAAAACAGCTAATACATGTCCTTCCCCCGAGAATAATTTGACTACTAATTAGGCGAATGAAACTTAACTTATAATCGCAATGTTGACCATAACTCCGATCACAAACATGATAGAAGTATAACTGGTGGCTGGTTTGCGTGTCGTTCTGCTTTTCCTCGTGCTACAGTGCTATAGACGGCCTTCATTTAGCGTCTGTGTGTGTAGCCGAGCGAGGCAAGCTGTCAAGTTCACAACCATCTATATTTGCAGCAGAATGCAAAAGTACTTAGCAGTGTCGGACAAACACGAGTATAAATTAAAAAAGAGACACTAGTAAAACTGAGAAAACCTACAAACCTTCGCGGGCTGAACAGGTCGTCCATGGCGGAAGCTCTTTCCGTTGTGTTTACAGTTTGTTTTCGTTCTGCGGCGGCGGCCCAAAACTATGCTATTCGCCTATTTCATACTAGCTACTCAAAATGGAGGCTAGGCTGAGGATTTTTCTCCCCGAGCTCAGGCGATGACCTCAGCGTTCACGCGCCAGCCTACAGAGCTGGCGCTCAGCAGCGCTAACTGAGCATGTGCCGTCTCTAATGCAATCAGCTCCGTGTCCGCCGAGACATCAGCCACAAACCGAGCCTCGATACCACACACAATCCGACACCGCCGCTGCTGCGAAACGAAAGCGCAGTGAAATCGACGACTAGATGTATCGGTAACACTAATCACTCCAATCAACACTTCAAAATGGATGTCTGCTCAGTTCCAGTGCGAAAGAATATCCACTTCTTCTTCTTCTTCTCCCTCCCCTAGAGGATCAGCTTCAGTGAAGCTGCTTCACACCCGTTTAACTTGCATTATGTAATCATTTTACTCCATCTTTACATCTGTTCCACAGAAGAATTTCTTACTAAATCCGCCACTTAACACACACTCCTAAGGCCAAAGTTAAATCTGCATGTTGGATCTAATAAAATCTTCACTGTGCAGAAATATCTCATGTCATAACAAACCTTTAAACACATTTTAGCAGATGCAAACTGATGCTTGTCAGAACTGGTACAGTTTATACTGTCATGATCATCTTTCTTTTTCTGCCTTACTATTCTTACTATCCTGCTGCTGTAACACTTCTTTACCCCATGCACCATTAATAAAAGTCTCTCATCTTACATCTTACATCTTAAGATCACTAGGACATGTTAACAGGATGGTTCAGTGACACCAGTTTCTTGTCACTATGAAAGAATAAATGAATGCCCTATGGATGATTTATAGTGAAATTAATTTTACTTAATAAATAATTGTGACATGGTGGGAAAAAGGTTTTTGAGGTCATGTTTATTTTTAATCTGCTGCAACCACAGGATACTCTAAAACCACAGACATATACTTGACTCTTTAAATGCAATTCTCGGTAAGTTAGTAATGAAGTTCACAGCACTGATATTTTATCAACAACCATAAATACTGCTTACATTCCTTCAGTAGATTTGTTTATCCATTATGAAGTATTTCCATTATTTCTTGTCAGAGATATAGGTACACTTTAGTTTTCTATACTGACACTTAGCATGAGTTAGATTGTCCTAATAGGGATTTGCAGGATAGTCAGTAGTTCTGTTTCAGTTCAGTGGGTTCCTGAACTTCCTCCCTGCAAAATGAGCCTTATCACCCAGTTCCTCTTCAATTCTGTGGAGAAAAAACAGAAAACAATTACAGTATGGATGGGCAGAAAACAACAACTGACATACTGAGGAAGTGGTTGCTCATCAGTTAAGACTTTGGGCTACCGATTGGGTTATTGTGAGTTCACACCCCAGCACTGTCGGGACCATGAGCAAGACTGTTAACCCTGAACTGCTCAGTTGTATCACATCTCAACTGTCAGTCACTTTGTATAAAAGCATCACCCAAATATGCAAATGTAAACAACTGAATGTTTTAACAGTGTTGATAGAAGGAGGAAAAATCTTCACTCCAGGTGCATCATTTTATATTCAAATTACTATGCTAAAGACACCTGTTTCTGTCATGATAACTAGCAGGTATGTGTGCAGGTAATTGTGGTAATACGACAAAGACAGACACCTGAGGATCTGGTTGTACTTGGCCAGGCGCTCAGAACGACAGGGCGCTCCTGTTTTGATCTATAAAAAGAGAATAAAAATACAGTAAATTATGCACAGCTTTTAAATCAACTGTGAACTTACCCGATTAACTTATCTAAAGAAGTGCAGATTGTTGAACAACATACAAACAGCCTGTAGTTTTACCACTAAGCCAACAGTTTCTGAATTGTCCATGTAAATCCCACACAAATCTTGTAAAATGGCTGTTGCACCTACACTTCATCTCTAATTGCATCTAAATAAAGGTTCGAGCACTACGTACCTGTCCAGTGCACAGGCCAACCACCAGGTCAGCAATGAAAGTGTCCTCAGTCTCTCCTGAGCGGTGGCTCACCATCACACCCCAGCCACTGGACTGAGCCATCTTACAGCTACAAGGAAACAATAGGTCAACGGATCTGCAGTATTACTCAGTCACCCGTAATTACACATGCCTGATCTATATAATGATTTAAATCAACTGATTACAATTAAGTAATAGTAATTTAAGTAATTTAGTAATAATGATTTTCAAAAATGGTTACATAAATGCAAAACTAATTATCAGTATTCCATGGCCATTTTAATCCTAACAGGATAGTTGGATCAAAGAAATGTTCACCTGTACGCCTGCATAACATTGCAAGATTTATCATTTCTAACATCTCCTACCACTTCCAGCTTCTTCTCACAGTCTCCACATACATGCTTATTTTAATGGTCACAAGTCACATTATAGTATGTAAAAAGTATAAACGTGTCTGTTGTAGCCTATACAGAAAAAGTAGGATGCCAATACCATTTTCTTGCAACCCAGTAAATGCATGCAGTGAGTGAATGGTGAACTCACGCCTGCAGGGACTCTGTCACAGAGCCAATCTGGTTCACTTTGAGCAGCAGACAGTTGCAGGCCTTCTCCTCCACTGCTTTGGAAATGCGTTTGGGGTTAGTCACGGTCAGGTCGTCCCCAACTACCTGAATGTCTGTACTGCCTGTAAAGCTGGCCCAGGCCTGCCAGTCATCCTGGTCAAATGGGTCCTCAATGGACACCACTTCAATATAGGAAAAGCAAATTTTAGAATTAAAAACTGAACTAGTAAGCAAAGGGTAAAAACATGACAACATATGGGTTAATGTTAACAATGTGAAACGACTAAAATTTAAAGACCAAATGTTAACAAAAAAAACTCAGAGATTAGCTGACTAAGGACAGGGGATACCAGGGGAATCCTGCACAAAGCTCTTGTACAGTTCAGCAAGTTCATCAGAGGTGATGTAACGACTGGGGTCATCAGGTGACTTGAAGTCCAGATCATATTTTCCATCCTTGTAAAACTCTGATGCTGCCACATCCATGCCAATGACAACTTCATCGGAGTAACCTGCTTTGCTGATGGCAGTCTTTAGCAGCTCCAGAGCTTTAGCAGACACAGATATTGCAGTTAACTTTCAGCGTCTTTATTTGTACATCACTCACAGAGTTAGTACAACTAGTTCATCACTTTACTACCTTCCTTATTCTCCAGGATATTTGGAGCAAATCCGCCCTCATCACCTACATTGGTGGCATCCTTGCCATACTTCTCCTTAATGACGTTTTTCAGGTTGTGGTAGACCTCAGCCCCGATGCGCATGGCCTCCTTAAAGCTACTGGCTCCCACTGGCAGGATCATGAACTCCTGCATTGCCAGCTTATTGCCCGCATGGGAGCCACCATTTATCACATTGAAAGCCTTGAAGAATAAATCAGGCAACACAAACACAATTTTACTCCAATAAAAATGTAAATGTTTAAAAAAAAAACATAAATCTGTTTAATCTAAATATACTTATAATGAATGTTTTTTTTAAGGATATTTGTTTGGGCAGTCAATAGATGCAAAAAACAGATTCTTCAAATAATGAATTCTTCATTTAATCAGCCATCCATCGTCAGTAACCAGTTTATGGTTACTGGTCAGGGTTGCAGTGGATCTGGGGCCTATCCCAGGAGCATTGGGCATGAGGCGGGAACACACCTAGGGGAAATTTAGCATAGCCAATCTAAATCTTAGGAGGTGGAAGGAAACCCACCGAACCTAGAGAAATCCCACATGGCCACTGGGACAATATGAGAAACTGAGAACCCTGGCTCTGTGACACCATATTA